GTTTCCTCTCGATGTTTTTCGTCACCGTATGTCAGTGGTGTCGAAATAATCATAGAAAGTACATATAACTCGGAAAAAGTCACATTGGTACTTGCCAGGTTTGGAACCCTCATGCTTGAGAACCGGGCTACCACCAGGACATATCAAAAACAAATGAATCTTACAAATTTAATATTATAAATGCGAAAGTTACGATGTTTGGATGTTCGTTACTCAATCACGCCAAAACGACAGGACGGATTTTTCTTTTTTTTTATGTGTTAGGTCGGCAAACGAGCATACGGATTACCTGATGGTAAGCAATCAGCGTCGCCCATGGACACCAGCACCAAAGAAGGAGTTACGAGTGCGTTGCCGACCTTTACGGGATTGGGATTTTGGGGATTCAGGGATTGGGAAGGATTGGATTTGGATTTAGTTGTGGTTGTTTCACGCCGGTTTTCTGTAAGGCCGTGGTATAACTCCGGTCAAGCCGACCCATTCGTGCCGAAGCATGGCTCTCCCACACTTAAAAATCTAAATGATCTGGATGAAATTTGGCATAGGCATAGGATACACTCCGGAATAGGACAAAGGCTACTTTTTATCAACATACCACTCGAGCGAAGTCGCGGTCGGCAACTAGTATTGTATAATCGGAAATACCAACATCACTGCATCCAGTCATACGTGACGAAATCATAACCTCTATATATTTTATGTCGGTTAGAAGTGGATTTCGAAGACTGTCGTAAGGTTATTTAAAAATAGATTCTGAAATTTTTTACCGTGGGTGGTGGACGATAGGAATATAATACTTATACACAAACGGATAGAGAAGTTTTTTCTGTGATTCTTTATGAGTTATTCATTGGTTTATAAGTGTTACAACTAAAAATTAAAGAGTTCTCCCATTTATTTATTTATTTAAGACTTCATGCACAAAACATTGTACATAGGCGGACTTAATGCAATAAGCATTCTCTACCAGTCTACCTTTGCAGCGGTAAGACCCCTCTTTGAGGAGTGGCTTGAGAGACGCCACGGCGTCCTCACCTTCCGCCTGACGCAGGTGCTTCCGGGCACGGCAGCTTCGGTAGGTTCCTGTTTCGGATCGGTCCTCCCAGCGGGAGGAAACGCCCGAGTGTCGTCATTGTGAGGACCACCTAGAGGATACGGTGGAGCATGCGGTAGCGGTATGCCCTGCCTGGGCTGAGCACCGCCGTGTCCTCAGGGAAGTGATTGGCGGCGGTGACCTCTCGCGCCCGGCCTTAGTCGAGGCTATGGTGCGGAGTGAGAGGAACTGGGACGCCGTCTCCTCCTTTTGTAAAGCAGTCATGCTCGCAAAGAGATAGGCGGCCCGCGTGAGGGAGCAATCCTCTTCCTCACGCCCCAGCAGCCGCAACTGGCGACACTACGGGCGTCGGGGATCAAAGGACGATCTCCGGCCACCGTAAGCACGGGTCTGCTGTCGGCGAGTAAGGGCAGCTCGCCGCCCGACCAGAAACAGGCCCGAGCGTAAGGCGCGTAGCGTTCCGCGCGCGCCTCAAAGAGCCAATAGACCACCACAGACGGGGCCCTAAAGGGCTGATGTTCAGCCGGGGTTGCGGGGTAAGCGCGATGAGGTACCGCGATCTCGGCCTAGAGCAGGAGAAGGAACAGGGGGGTTTTTAGTCAGTAAGAGTCTGACACTCCTTCCCGCCCGCCCCTGGGCGGGAGAAGGCATTTGATGATTTTCCCCTCACAAATAAAAAACCAGTCTACCTTTGGGTGATGCTGAGATAATCTAGTGGCAGGTGCAGAAGCAAGCAAATTCAATTAAATACACCAAACTATCTTTATCCTATCCTTATTAAGTACTAGCTACTCTCGCGCGGTTTCACCCGCTGCTTGGCTACATTTAATCGTAGCGTGATGTTTATAGCCTATAGCACTCAGGAGCATTGTAGATATCTGTCAGTGAAAGAATTTTGGAATCCGCCCAGCGGTTCCAAAGATTACCCCCTACATACAAACTTACAATTTTTACCTCTTTATAATATTACTATAGAAGCATAGATATTGATTCGAATAGAAGCATATATATAGAAAAAACCACATCAAAATCCGTGATTTTAAAGATTTAAGCGTACATAGAGATATAGGGACAGAGAAAGCGACTTTGTTTTATACTACTTATGTAGTGATCTTTCAGTTTAGTTTCAGAGAATATTTGGTACACAAACAGACGAAGTACCTGATGGTAAGTGATCAGCTCTGCCCATGGATTCTTACAAATCAGAGAGGACATAGGCGCGTTGCCGGCCTTCCAAGAAGGAGTACACTCGTTTCTTGAAGGTTTAAAGGTCGTATCAGTATAGTAGTGTTAGGACGGCAAACGAGCAGACGGATTACCTGATGGTAAGCAATCGGCGTCGCCCATGGACACCCGCAACAAAGAAGGAGTTACGAGTGCGTTGCCGACCTTTTAAGGATTGGGATTTTGGGGATTTAGGGATTGGGAAGGGATTGGGGTAGGGGAAGGATTGGGCCTCCGGTAACCTCACTCACACGGCGAAACACAACGTTGTGGTTGTTTCAAGCCGGTTTTCTGTGAGGCCGTGGTATCACTCCGGTCGAGCCGACCCATTCGTGCCGAAGCATGGCTCTCCCACACTCAAATTCGGTTTATATGATAGGGATGAAACTGTTTCCTCGTGGGTCGACGACGACGACGAATATCGGGTTGGGAAAGCCAACGATTTGTAATTCGAGCATTCCCTGTGGCATAGGCAACAGCGATATTGTTTTGTTGTCGGGCGAGAAAGAGGGATAGAGTTATAATAATAGGTCTTTACATATGAAATTGCCGTTTTGCATAAAAAAAAATTAAACGATTTTATTAATTTGAAATGCGATGAAAATGTAACACTAATCAATAAACAAATGACTACTTTTGGATAAAGAATCCCATGTTTTTAAAACAAAATTAATTAGCCTTAGCCTAACAAAAACTATTTTGATTTGAAATGGCCAGTACTGCAGAACGGCAATTTCATAGGTAAAGACCTATTATAATTGTGTATAGCTCCATCCCTCTTTCTCGCCCGAAAGATTCACGTTGTAACACTTCATGGTAGTCCCACTGATGACTCTTCTACCAGCGAATCCAATGACATTCGCATTCACAAAACAATTGATTTCTATTTGTTTTTAAGTGTGGGAGAGCCAAGCTTCGGCACGAATGGGTCGGCTCGACCGGAGTAATACCACGGCCTCACAGAATACCGGCGTGAAACAACCCAGCGTTGTGTTTCGCCTTGTGAGTGAGGTTACCGGAGGCCCAATGCCTTCCCTTCCCCTATCCATTCCCGATCCTTTTATCTGCAACCCCTATCCCCATATCCACAGAAAGCCAGCTACGCACTCGTAACTCATTTGGTGTTGCAGGTGTCCATGGGCGGCGGCGATTGCTTACCATCAGGTAATCCGTCTGCTCGTTTGCCGACACAAAAATACACTCATAATACAGTACAAATCCTGGTGTGAAGCAAAATAAAATAAGTATTTTCCTTCCTGTTATTGTAATGCATTTTACATCACTGCAATATTAGTTGGTATAAATCAAAGATATATTCTCTGTCCCTAAATCCCTATGTATGCTTAAATCTTTAAAACTACGTGACGGATTTTGGTGTGGTTTTTTTTTATAGATGAGTGTTTTTTTTAAAAAAAACAAACTTTGCCCCACACTTGGGTTTTCTCCCGTGTCGTGGGTGCGTTTACAAACATTCAATTTCATATAAACATCACACCCAGACCCGAAACAACAATTTGTGGATCACACAAAGTGTTGTGTGAACCCGCGACACGTTGCACGGCAGCCAGTTGCCCAGCCACCGTACCAATCGTGCAGTCTTGATTCCCAGATTGAAGAGGAAAGTTAGGTATATATCCCGAGCGTACGGCGCGTAGCGTTCCGCGGTCACCTCAAAGAGCCAATAGACCACTACAGACGGGGCCCTATAGGGCTGATGTTCAGCCGGTGTTGCGGGGTAAGCGCAATGAGACACCGCGACCTCGGCCCACAGCAAGAGAAGGAACAGGGGGGTTTTTAGTCAGTAAGAGTCTGACACTCCCTCCCGCCCGGCCCTGGGCGGGAGAAGTAATTTGATGATTTTACCCTCACAAAAAAAGGTATATATATAATAACATCCATTAAATAGTAGAGAGATGTAATATCGGCACTATACCCGTGCGTAGGCGGGGTGGGTCGCTAGTTAAAAATATTTTTTCCTTCCTGTTATTGTAATGCACTTGCAGTTAACATTATAATGAAGAAAATGAATATACGGCAATTGTTGCTTTGCCTGCATTGAATAGGTTTATTTTTTTATTTATGTCATAGTCGGCCAACGAGCCGTCACTCATAATATTAACGAAGCTTAGTTTTTAATTAAAAAAAACGTTGCCGCACACTTGGATTTTCTCCTGTGTCGTTTGTTCGGTTACAAACATACAATTTCACATACACATCACACCCAGACCCGGAAACACAATTGGGGATACTACAAGTCCGTTTCCAGGCCTTGTGGGCTGTTAGGCATTAAAGGATTGAGGATTGGGCCTCCGGTAACCTCACTCACACGGCGAAACACAACGCTGTGGTTGTTCCCCGCCCCCAATCCCTCCTCAATCCCTAAATCTCCAAATCCCTAATCCCTAAAAGGTCGGCAACGCACTCGTAACTCCTCCGTTGCGGGTGTCCATGGGCGGCGCTGATTGCTTACCATCAGGTAATCCGTCTGCTCGTTTGCCGACCAATTACATAAAAAAAAACTTCTACTACATACCCGCTTTGAGGAAAATTCGTAATGTAACTTTGTTTTTTAAATATAAACAAAACTTGTTTTTATTTATAGCTATCGATAAGAACACGTTCACCGGAATTTAAAACCACACTTTCCGCATTTTCATTACCTACGAACATAATAAATTTCGTTTACTTACACAAAATAATAAAATGTTTGAAAAATTCTCACCTGTTTCACGTTTTATTCCATTAATAACACTGAATAAAAACACTTTATTAAATAAATAAATAACTATTCATTATTTTTTATTCACTCACAAACACAGTTTTTGGTAAATTGACAAATAAAGACGCGTAATTGTATGTTTATTAACGTTTTTCGCGCGCCGTAACACGAACGCGCGCTTCCGCTGGCGTTCGTTTTCAAATAAACTATCCAAGATGGCCGCTTGGATGACAAGGTGATGTGTAGTGCAGTGACGCGGGAAAAATTGTCGATATTTTTTTTCTCTGTTATTTTTTTGTAGCTGATATAAGCTGTTGGTTTTTTTTTGTTTCTATTGTCAAGTTAATTTTAGTTTTATTACGGTGTTATTAGGTATATTTATTTATTAATTGGTTGTTATTTTGCTTTTTTTGATGAAATAATCATTTGTTACAGCTTAAACTATAGGTAATACAAGGCACAAAGTTATAGGTAAAGGTCTATTTGCAACAATTTTTAATAGATAATATTTTTTTTACTTCCAGTAATTTTTATAAAAACATTAAGTAAGTACATGGTTGGGGTTTTCGAGGATTGCTGAAGGGAAAGGATTTGGGTAACCTGGTAACCTCACCCACACAGCTTAAAAAACGAGTCACTAGAAGTGCGTTGCCGACCTCTTGTGAGCTCTTGGTTTAAGAATAATAATAATAAGGATTTGAGGGTTGAGGATGGGGGTGGAAATATGAGGGAAATACATGTTTGTTCATGTGTCTTTTTATACCAAATCGTAGGGATCGTATAATGATTGTCCTCTCTGAAGACAATAGGTCATTACATCGTCATCATCTTCATCATCACCAGTGCTGTTGAGTAAAAGCCTTTTCTCACACCTAAAATGTCAAAAAAGCCATAATAACCACCTCACTTAAGGCGGGTTGCAGATTTCAAACTTGTATAATTTCATTAGAAATTATAAGTCTAGGTTTCCTTACATGTTTTCCTTCACCGGTGGCGTCTAAATAATCATACAAGCTATGCACGGACATATGGTACGAATGGGTGAAACTAGCTCTTAACAATATATTCTCACGTTAGAAACCACGTGTTCGCAAAATGATATAACAATAACAGTCTATAAAATTCAAGGCCAAGAATAGTACACGAGAGTGTCGCTATTTCACGACGTCTCTGAAAATACTTTTTTTTTGTGTGGGGAAAATGATCAAATGACTTCTCTCGTCCAGGGTGAGGCGAGAGGGAGTGTCAGACTCTTACTGACTAAACCCCCCGTTCCTTCTCCTGCTCTAGTCTGAGGCTGTGGTACCTTATTGCGCTTGACCCGTGACCCTGAGTCTAATGGGAAACCTACAACGTTTTAAAAGTATGGAAAATCTAGATCAGTGTTTTAAGTGTGGGAGAGCCATGCTTCGGCACGAATGGGTCGGCTCGAACGGAGTGATACCACGGCCTCACAGAAAACCGGCGTGAAATAACCACTGCGTTGTGTTTCGCCTTGTGAGTGAGGTTACAGGAGACCCAATCCTTCCCCTCCCCCAATCCTTACTCAATCCCTAAATCTCCAAATCCCTAATCCCTAAAAGGTCGGCAACGCACTCGTAACTCTTCCGTTGCGAGTGTCCATGGGCGGCGCTGATTGCTTACCATCAGGTAATCCGTCTGCGACCGTCGTTTGCCGACCTATCACATAAAAAAAGTGTTTTAAAATACGAGGATTATATATATCTCCGTAACTGAATTCTAGAGGTCGGTTAGGTAACATTAGTACCTAGTAAAGAAAATATTGAATTCAAACCGGTACTGGTTTACCTCAGAGGAATACCTTATCGGGAAAATGTCTAGAATATGCGATAGTAAAAATATTACCTTATGATTGTAAGGTAATATTTGACAGGTTTCTTAAGTAAGGGATGTCTCGGGTAAAGTACTATTGATGATAATGATGGCGAATTCTTAACATAGGGAAAAGGTAGTATGTGTATATGTTAGAAGCAAACGTAATACCTTGTCGGATTTCGGAAAGTACGTCAAGCTGGTCCTGAACTAGAGCTCTTTTCAGTCATGTCGGTCGACCGTCCCACTGCATATGCAGATGGTAAGAGGAAGAAAGAGTAACCTGTATTTGTAAACACTTGAATTCGACTTTGATTTTGACTAAATATCTTCTGTGTAGTTGGCATGTCTACTTAGACAGGTGTCCGAACGTCTGTCTCTGTATATAGGGATATATTTAAGCAAAGGGATGCTTAAATCTTAAAAACTACGCAACGGATTTCGGTTTTGGTTCCTTTATAGATAGAGTGATTGACGAGGTAGGTTTATATGTATACTATACAATCCAATATAAAGCAGATAAATTTAATATCAGCATTTCACACGTGGGAAGTTAAGGCGTGTCGCTAGTATTAATATGAAAAAAATCGATGTTACCATGCACGTGTATAAATTTAAAAATGCAAATCAATGAATATTCACGGTAGGTATATGTATTCTTTACATAATTTGTCAAGCTTACATTAGATTATTGCATAACAGTATGTGTGTGTGCGTGTGTATTGCTTATTAAGTATTTTATAAGTTATGTAAGGTGATTAATTTTCTGATAGAAATTGCTATTGTTAGATGCAACTTCGTAGGTTGCGTTGGCCGCATGCACGAGGGCCAAAAACATGGTAAGTACCAAAGTGGCTTTCTCCGAGTTACATATATATACTTTTATGATTAGTACTTGCCAGAATTCGAAACGGCCTTCTGGTGTGTGTTCCTGAAGCTTCTAGTCGTCACGACAACCTATTACAATTCACAGACCTGTTAATCATATTGTATTTTATTTTTTCTGCTTCTATAGAATTATTTTAGTTTATAAAAACTTCGAATTTTACACAACTTAATATAATAAACGTGAATATTTGTGAGAATTCATGGATGTATGTTTGTTATTCTTCCACGCACAAAACAGATGGATCAATTTGATTAGAATTACACAACGAACGCAAAGGCTAGTATTTATCCACCACGCGAACAAAACCGAAGCTAGTTTGACTATACTCAATAAAATGATACTTATAAAAATATTATTAGTAACATTTTAATTATATTCTCAAGTTTTTGTGCTTCTCACTGAGGCTATCGTGTGCAGTCTGTCAGTCAATCAATCACCGGTAACGAACAGGTTTTATACACATATAAGAAAATACATTACCGATTACAACATAAATTATTATTTTTTCCATATTCATACACTATTTAATTACACGTAGTTTAAACTTTTTTACGGGAAACAAGTAGACGGTAGATCTAATGGCAAGTAATTAGGTACTACTCATAAACACCCCCAACTCCTGAGGAGTTGCAAGTAAGTACGTTGCCAGCCTGAACGCAATACTATACCATGATCTCGACCTGGAGCAGGAAAAGACTTTTGTTATAAGTCCAGGTTTTCTTACAATGTTTTCCTTCCAGTGGTGTCTAAATATTCATAGAAAGTACATATAACTCAAAAAAAGTCATATTAGCACTTGCCAGGCTTCAAAAACGTCATGCATGAGAACCGGGCGCCTTAACCCCCGGGCCACCACGACTACATTCTTAGTATATCTAACTGAATTTCCAAGAATTCGTGCCAAATTGTTTTATCTAAAAACGCAGCTGTGGCACTCACTATTCAAACTGAAACGAAGTAAATCATTATTTATAGCTAGTTCGTTACCGCCAAAAATCACAGTGGAAAAATCTTACTCTAGCTGTGTTTACTTTTACAAAGATCTCTGTACAAGGTCAAGATAATTGTGGATTGTTTTAAATTAAATATACTGTAAGTATATGATATTTTGATAACTTTACTTCTTGTATGTGGATATACTCACTTCATTATATAATTCAATTTTATAGCTGTTTATTTTACATATATCAGATTTTATTATGAAAATATAATAAAAATATAGCAAAATATTTCGACCTGCTTACTTTCGTCTTTATTTTTTTTTTAAATAAATTTTGATTTATACTTGGGTTTTTTCCAAGTGGGTCGTGGGTGCGTTTACAAACATCCCATTTCACATACACATCACACCCAGACCCGCAACAACAATTTGCGGATCACACAAAGAGATATTGCGTGAGTGTAACCCAGTCACCGTCAGTATTAGGTAAGTAAACCTATTTATGTAGGTATGTATTCGTGAGTTTGTAAAACATATTATGATATTGTTTTTTAAAGAGTAAAGACAGCGTTTCTTGCTCGTTTTTCTTCATTGGAATCTACTCTTTGGTACGAGAACCTAGCTTCACTGGCAAACTGACTGATAGACTACTATTCTATTTTGACGTTTAAAAAGTATCTGTTTATGGAGTAGTTGGAATAAATGATTTTGGTTTTAAATTTGAAGAGGCTAAACGATAATAAAGTATAATATATTTCCGTGGTTCTGTAATTAAAATAAAAAGATGGTTTACTGATAGAAGTCATTGTTATTTTTATTTTATATACCATACACCGAGATCTGTTACAAACTTTAGGTACCTAATAAAATACAGAAAGATTAATAGCTATTGTTACACTAAATTATATAGTTACTAGCTTTCGTTCATGGTTTCGCCCGCGGGGTATGTTGATAAAAAGAATTCAGAGTTTCATCTATTTACATACCAATATTCAACCAAACAAACAAACAAACCAACCAATTTTTAATAATAACGACTTAATCATGTGTAATACCTACTAGAGCCTCACAGAAAACGAAGTGTTATACTCGCATTGGTTTTGTTTGGGTTACTGAAGGCCCAATCCTTCGGAAATAAAAGGGCATTGCCAAATCCCAAATTCTTAACAACCTGCAAAAAGGACTGCAACTCACTTGTTACTCCACTTATGTGACTTGGACACACAATATGGGCACGGCCGACTGTTAACTATCAGGTGATCTGTACATTACAATATATATATAATAATATATAAAAACTTCCTTCGTCACATCAACGAAAAAAAACTCGTCACATTACAACACAACTTTTATCGACATCGATATTGAGCACGGCACATCACTACGAACTTGGAGCACCGTGTAATTTGGTGACACGAAGCAGACAGCGCACATCATTATGTTGTCTATGATTAAACTTGACATACACACGGGACAAACATATTTTATACATATATATGTAAAACGTAAAACCACACCGATCTTTTTGTTATGAGTGACAGAGAA